AAAGGAAGCTAACTTTTCCCACATAAGCATGTGGGTTTTCAGCCAAAAACTCTACTTTTCCTAGGAGTATCAGCGTCTCACTCGGGGTGGGGAGTCTGTGTGCACAGCCACGGCTCTTCTTGCCCGGGGTGAGCTCCGGGGATTCAGGGCCCAGGAACAGGGAGGAGCCCAGGAGAGTGGATGTGGGCAGCCACCTGCCTGGAAGCTGCCACTGCCACACCAGGCATCTGCCTGTTGCTGCCTATGGGACCTGCTCGCTGTGAGACTGTGGGCAAGTTGCTGCTCCCCTTTGAACCTGTGTTTTCCTTCTGTGCAATGAGGGCTTGGATCTGAGGATTTCTGTGGCTTTTAACTTCCAAGACCAGGAAGGAGTATGGGAAGGAGATTTTCTTGCTTTGCTCAGAAGGATAACCAATGGCAGGAATCCCACTGCCTCATCAGGAAAATGTGGGGTGAGGAACTCCAAGGTCTCCTGGGGGGAGCAGCAGAAAACAGACTCTGGGAACATGCAGGTAGCCCCAACAGCCAGGGTCCACAGGTTTCAGGTTTTCAAGTCCCTCGATATTGCAGATTTACAAAAATAATTATTTATATATATTTTTAGAGAGATTTTTGCTATAGGGTGCATGTGTTCACCAGAGAGACAGAGGGAGAGGGAGAGAAATCACCCCCCAGGGGGATGGCCACACTGCAATCCCTTCTTCTCCAGCCTCCTCTCAGGATTTCGGGCATGCATGCACACATGCTGGGCATGAGTTTTAAGCTGCCGGGTCTGGGACTCAAACCGTAGTCAGCCATGTGAGAGTCCAGCAACATAACCATTACGTCATCGGCTGGTCCCAGTATTGCAGATTTAAGAAAATAACAGTGATCCAACAAGTTAATGTGGTCACAGTCAACCCCGCAGTGAATCCTGGGCCAGTGAATCTAGGCGGTGTGGTGCATAAAGCACTGGACTCCCACGTGGCTGACTGCACCTGAGTCCCGGACCTGGTAGCCTGAGGGTCATGCTGGGCACACGTGTGTCTGTGCCTAGTATCGCAGAGAATGGAGAAGGGACTGCAGTGTGGCCATCCCCCCTGGAAGAGTGTTCTCACTCCCAACCCCTCCCTAACTACACGTGTGCCCTGTGGCAAAACCTAAAAAAAGGCACTGCAGGGACAGAAGTCCTCCGATTGTGCAACAGGGTGTATCCGTGAATCCCTGGTTCTGATCACAGTGACACGGTTACGCAAGATGCTAGCATTTGGGGAATGTGGAAAAAGGGTGAACGGGAATTCTTTTGTACTATTTTTATAATATAACCTGAAATTATTCCAAATGAAAAACTAAAATAAAAAAAAATCAGAGTCCTCTGTGATTCTGTGGGCAGAGGTCACGACCCATAAGGAAGAGATGAACACTGGACAGAGAGGTGGGCGCAGCCAACGCTGCCCCGTCTCTGGCTGCTCAGACAGCTCAGGGTGGGGCAGCAGGGGCAGGCTCTGTCCGCCAAGAACAAGGGAGCCTTTGGCTGGTCCCGGTGGGCAGAGCTGGGTCGTGCAGGCCAAGAGGCCAGGCATTGTAAGGAGGCAGCTGTGCGAGAGCTAGGCCTGCTGGGGACGTGGCCCTGGGTTCAAAGGAGACATTGTTCACCCCCGACCCTGGGTCTGGGTGCTGCTGGGTTGGGTCTGATTCTCTCAGAGGCCTGCAAGTCAGGGCGGCTGGGGCTTGGGCCTGGACCCTGGAGCACGCCCGGAGGCTGGGCTGAAGGTCCCCGGGCAACACGGCACTCACCCAGACAACACCGCTGCTGCTCAGGGCTTGCGGCCGTGGGGCCTCATCCGTGTGCGTGGTGTTGGCGCTGACCGTGGACAGCGGGGCCTTGACCGTCTCTTCCAAGTCCAGCAGGTTCCCAGTGGCGACCACTATGGAGCCAGTCAGGTGTGGGGGGTGCTTCCTCCTGCACGCCCCACCTCCCAGGCCCACCTGGAGCCTCCCGGGCTCGTTCTGGTCCCGATCCCCCTCGGACAGCCTCCGTCAGGCCCATCATCCAGACTGCTCAGAGCCCGGCCTGGCACCTGCATCCGGGCAGGTGGACAGCTGCCCGCAGGGAGAACCCACTGCCGGTCTCCCTGAGACGCTGACGGCCATGTAGCTGTTAGGCCCCCCTTGCTACATTTACCCCAGGGCCTGTGTACCGAGAGGCACGCACCCACTCCTGCAGGGGCTCAGGGAGAGGTCAGGGGAACACGCACAAAAACGAGTGACTGCCCCTTCCACTGCACTTTCTCACACAGCTGCAGTGAATGTGAACTAGTTAACAACGAAATAGGGAGAGAGAGTTCACAGCAGCCCAGGAGCCAGGCCTCTGCGTGAGGGGCGGACGGGCCCAGCGCCCTGCAGCTGAATGTAGCCCCTCAATGCCCAAGACTCACAGCTCTTCAGTGGCGGGGTGCTGTCACGGCGGGTCCCCAAGACGTCCACTCCCTCCTGGCTGGCTTTGTCCCTCTTCTCTCTCTCTGTAGGACCAAGACACAGCAGGTCAGCACCCCAGGCCCCAGCACATGCCCTGCAGTGGTGGCAGGTGGGCGGTGGCCACCTTGGTGGCTAGGGCTCCGGGGGAGGTCGGAGCTCTGCAGACAGCATTTGCCCTCGTGGCGCTCCCTCACAGCGCTCCGGGGAGGGTGGGGGCTGTTGCCATTGTGCAGTCAGGAAAGCCGAACCTCACCGAGGTGAAAGGCCTGTGCACGACCGCGGGCCAGGTGGGGGATGAAGCGGGGGGCCCAGGCCTGACCCCAGGGCCTCTGTCTGCCTCCCACTCCTGCCCCACACTACTCGCTCCAAGCCCACCCCGCCCGCCATGCAGAGAGGCTCACCTTCCTTGGACACCTGCCAAAACTCAAAGGCGACTTTGAAGGCCTGGGCTACAGTGAGGGTGACAGCCTGTGCCTGAAAAACAGGAAGTGGGGTCGGGACGGGCAGGGACCAGCCAGGGACAAGCCAGTCTGCACTGGGGAACCAGGGTCTGGCCCCTCCTGGGTCACCAAAGCAGCCTGGAGTATCTTCGGACCACACCCGTCTGGGCAGCTGGGCCGTTCTCCCCAGTGCCAAGCCAGCCCAGTCGAGGTGCTGCCCTCACTGCTGCCCCCTGCAGGGGCTGCTGCCTCCACTGTCCTTCCTCTCTGGGTTTCCCTACTCCCTCCGAATCCCCTGAGGAATCAATGCCCTCACTGAGCCCCCGGGACCGCAGAGCGTAACAGTCAGAGCTGAGGGGCACGGCCGCTGCCTGCGTCAAGCAGAGGTGGAGGTCAGACTGCTGAGGACTGCGTGGTCCGAGGGGCTTCGCGATGGACCTCAACAATGAAGTACGCTTTGTAAGTTTTCTAGCAGGAGGGAGAGGTCAGTCAGTGCCCAGGGGCCAACGCCACTCAGTGCTGTGAGCCGCCTGGAAGGAGAGGCCTCACCTTGGCCTTCACCCCCGGGGGACTCCCACCACCCTTCAAACCCAGCCCAAATTTCATCGGCTCCCCAGTCCTCCTCCCTCCCTGTGTATCATGAGCACTACAGCATCACAGGATCCTACAAGTAAGAACAAGTCTGAACACACAGCCCCCCAGGTGACAGTGCGGGCTGACTCACACTGTCCAAGGGGCAGGCCGCCCAGGCCCGGCCCGGCCCACCGCCCTCCCAATACCTTCCTCTGTGCTTCCCCTCCAGGCTAACCCGCCGGCCTCTGAGTGGAAGCCGCAGGGCCCACAGCTCCAGCAACACCAAGAAGCAGCACCGAGCTCGCTCTGAAAGCCCGAAAGCCCTGGCCGAGAGGAGAAGGCACGAGATGCTTTCACGCACACCCGCTCAGGCTCCCTGGCCTGGGCCCCGGCCCTCCCTCCACCAGGCACCCCAGCTGAATTGAGAAACGAAGCTTTGGCCACTGCCTTCCGAGTTTTAAAAAAATGAAATCCCTAAACAAGCTGACTGATCCGTGCCAATTAAACTTCACGAAGTACAAAATCTCATTTGAATGTCTCCGTCATTTACATCTTTGATGGAAGTATGGGCGCTTTATGGCAAAACTTAAATATGGTAATTAAGTACGAAACTCTTCACAGCTGTTTACAATTTAAGCCGTCACGTCTGAATCGAGTTTAATAGACCCAGTTACCATTGAGAATTGCCTGTGAGCTAAAACTACGGGTCAATTACCAGCCGGGTCAGATCACAGGCGCCCAGGCACGGGCTGGGCACCTCGTGTGGCAGGGACCTGGGGCACCTTTCGCCTGCCGGAAACCGGGCAGCGGCTGGTGCTGCTTCCCATAAACAAGCCTGTGCATCTGCGCACACCTCTGCCCTTGGCCAGAAGGCCCAAGCCGTGAGCGAAACCAGATAGGACCCAACAGAGGGACGTGTGCGGGCGGCTCAGGCCACGGGCAGCTCCTCGGGCCTGACTGCCAGGTCGGTCCTTCCCATCTCATCTTTGGCCTCTCCCCCGGAAGTCCTGCGAACCCCAGGATTCCCACACAGGCCAGGCCACCACACACTGCCCGCCTGGGCTGCACTGTGGCCCGGAGCATCGAGGGTTGCACTCACACCGCGGCGGGCGCGGCTGCCCCTTAGAGGACATCCCCGCGGAAC